GCCTCGAGCGGAAATGCGCCGATTGAATTACGTCGCGGGGATGCAATAATGGATACTTGAACGCGAGCAATTAACGTGAGGCGACCGCTACCGGTGCCTGCCATTAGGGAAACACAACGAGGCCACTTTTGGGGTTGGTCTCTAATGAAGACAAGGCCTTGTCTGCCTTGCTGATGCTACAAACGAGCTCGTGTTCGTTGCACATTAATCGGAAATTATCAAAGCATTTAGACATTTGTCCTTTTTTTCTTTTAGAACATTTATTCTGTGTGCTTCGTTACACGTTCATTTTTGATACATTATATAATACAGAAGAACATTGTATGTTCAGAAGTAAATTGTGTGGTTGTATCACTTTCAGCAGTCAGCTGGATCTTTTTGAATTTTGTATTTGCCGTTAAATGAATTATTACCTGTTTGGTATAATGTTTTCAGTATCATTAAATTTATTAATTTCTAATATCATTCTCGCTAAAGTAATATCATTCATTATTTTTAATATCTTTATCATATTTTTCATGACGACGTTAATATATCAATACAAAAGAAGAATAAAAAAAGAACAGGAAAATACAAAAACAGTACAGTTAAACAATGATTAAAATGTGATCGATTGTCAACAAAACTTGCGTGTAGAAGTCTTAAGAATAATGACTGAATTCACACTGAAATCAAATTCCCTTCGCATGATAATTAGCAGACGACAAAAAGCGTTCATTTTGAAAACAATAACAGCAATCACGGGAGATCCGTGGCGATCAATGCAAATTCACTTTCGGTTCCATGTATGCATTTTCATCGCGACTGTGCTCGAAATGTATGCACGTGCCGTGAATGACGTTCGAGCCACGGGTCTTGATACCGCGTATAGTTAACCATACCGGAAGTATGGTACTAGTACAGATATACTAACAGCACACGGTGCTTCTCGTTTGGTTAAACCACCATAAATCCGGCCAACTCGTCACTATCTGCTAACTGGTTTGGTCCACGCTGCCAGCCATGATATTCATCTATCACATGCCACCTGACACACGTTTGTCACCTGACGTCACCTTTGCACCACCGTTATCGTTGCTCTCTGTGAAATTCGACCGTTATTTTTAATCGCCTCTCGTCGATGACGAGTTTTCGATTGTCGCACCTTTCGATTGGCTACTTTAAATCTTTCGACGTGAAATGGGTCTATTATTTGAGAAAAGTTTGGATTTTGCGATTGGCCAGAGCGTTTTGTAAATGATGTTGCGCATACTGGTTCAATTAGGATCGTGACACTGATTCATTCAGTTGTAAATTACGACGTTTCCAAATTCAGTAATTTTTAAGTTTATGAACTGGTCAATTTCTTTAATTGCCCACTTTTCTAATTTTCAAATGTTTCAATTTCTCAATTTTCCAATTTTTCAATTTTTCAATGTTTCAATTTCTCAATTTTCCAATTTTCCAATTTTCCAATTTTTCAATTTTTCAATTTTTCCATTTTTCAATTTTTTAATTTTTCAATTTTACAATTTTTCAATTCTTCCATTCTTCCATTCTTCATTTTTGAATTTTTCAATTTGTCAGTTTGTCAATTTGTCAATTTCTCAATTTCTCAATTTCTCAATTTCTCAATTCTGCAATTCTTCAATTCTTCAATTCTTCAATTCTTCAATTCTTCAATTTTTCAGTTTCCTAAAATGAAGTCTGCCCATTACACTTCTAATTTCCTAAAATTATTAAATTTGTAATTATTTCACAAAAGTATTTCATAGACGCGCGACTAACGACTAAAATAACCAAGTAATATTCGAAGAATAACAAAGCAAAAAACGTGTTAATAAACCGCAAGCAGGTTCTAACGAGTGAAACGAGGCAAAGAGAGCCACCATCTGACAATCGATAACGTTATCCCGCGGCGTGGTACGATTGAACGCTTTATGCAGCTGCGATTTCCTGCCACGGAGCCGGTGCTCCTGATGAATTCGATAAAGCTCGATCGAGCTCGAGCACAGCGACAAAACGTCCCTTAATTGCCGGATTGATTCGTAGGTAACGCTTCAGAGACGCGCGAGATTATCCGAGCGTGAGTCGGCGATAAAGTTCCCAGGGGAACCGTAATATCCGCTTACTGATAGACTTTCTATGTAATTTCACTTGGATTCGTGGTAAGAGTGCTTTTTCTCGTCACCTTCCTACTTCTACGGATCGTGTTCGCTTCTTCGTCCTTGCATTATTTCAAATAAATCGTGTGTACGTGAAAACAATCACGTTTGGTGGGTTCTGCTTTGTGGTGTATCGGTTACGCCTGAAAATTTAATGCAAAGTAATTTTAGAAGGTTAGGTTTGTGAATTTGAAAATTTTAGAATTTCATATTGTTGTGATGCTCAAGCGAGAAAGTTTAAAAAATTATGCATTCTTAAATTTTTTAATTGTCAAAATATCGAATTACCAAACTGGACAATTTCCTTATTTCTCGATTCTTAAATTTCCCAATTATCAAATAATCCCATTTCCAAATTTCCCAATTTACAAATCTCGTAATACTAAAATTTCCCAATTCTCAAATTTCTCAATTCTCAAATCTCCCAATTCTCAAATTTTTCAATTCCCAAATCTTTCAATTCTCAAATCTCCCAATTCTCAGCTCTCCCAATTTTCAAGTCTTCCAATTCTCAAATTTCCCAACTCTCAAATCTCCCAATTCTCAAATCTCCCAATTCCCAAATCTTTCAATTCTCAAATCTCCCAATTCTCAAATTTTTCAATTCCCAAATCTTTCAATTCTCAAATCTCCCAATTCTCAGCTCTCCCAATTTTCAAGTCTTCCAATTCTCAAATTTCCCAACTCTCAAATCTCCCAATTCTCAAATCTACCAATTCTCAAATCTACCAATTCTCAAATTTCCCAATTCTCAAATCTCCCAATTCCAAATTTCCCAAGTCCCAAAATCAGAGCCTAACAAAACTACCACAAACAACCCTAACTCCCATCGATAAGTACTAAAAATCAAACTCCTCTTTCCACACCAGAATTCCAACCTCAAATCTCAATTAATCAAGAATTCACAAAAACCGAACAAAAATCAGCAACAAATGTTTCTTCGCAACAAGAATTAATACGATTCCCAAGAAAATATCTTTATCGAACCCCAAGGAAGTCTTTCACGAGCGACCAAACATCCCCGCCTTATCGCGTTCATTCTCCAATTGCTTCTCCCTTATCCATCGAAAGGAGACCCTTTCTTCTCGTCCTTTTTCATCACAGCGAATGGTAGAAGAAAGATAAAAAAAGGAAACGAGACGCGTGTCAACGTCGGTGGCTGGCTCTTCTTCAAGGAAGAAACAAACGCGTCCCGTTTTCTCGAGAAGAATTATTTCCTTGGCACTCGGGACATTACTGCCGCTCCGTTTGTCCTGGACGGATAAAACGTCAGGGCCGGGTGAAAGAAAATAAATAGAGATGATGCAGCCCGACTATCGAACGTGAAAAAAATAGACCACGAGGACGAGGAAGAAGAAGCGAACGGAAAGTTCTTTCGGAAATTGATCGGGAGATTGTAAATATTTGACGAACCGTGGCGAACTTTAATTAAAATTCGCTATTTAAATATTCGATGGTTACAAAAAATTTGCGCGAAAAACCTCGGCTGGCTTTTACGGTGAGTGTCCCTTGTGCTATGATGGCTTCTTATTCTTTGCTGTTTCTTTTCTTCAAGAGATAATGGATTTGATCGGACTTGGATTTATACTTGAAGTATCAAATTTATTAATTTTGACGTGAAGAAGTAAGGAATAAAAGAATATACGAAATGGGACAGTACATTGGACATGTAATACTTAAGACATAATCGTAATTAACCCTTTGCGAGTTTGAGACGGTTGCATCCTGTAACACGCAATCAATCTCGTTTCAAGGCAACCAGTAAGCGTAAAATCAACGCGGAAATTTCTCCCGCATCGTCCTTCTTTATCGACGTGGAATATCTATGAATACAATTCTCGCACGCTTAGTAGTGGGTTTATGGAACGTGTCAAAATATCGCATCTCGGATCCCTTGTCTTAAATTATAGAAATTAGCTCTTCGCACTCGGGAGGTGACTATCACCACCTTGTAAAATGCGGCAACTCGAGGTGACTCAGAGACGCCATTTTGTATCTCAAATTAGTAGATCGCGAAAGCCTTCGGTGTTAGTCCGAACTTGACAGTGTGCCAATAGGAATATTACTTTCAGATCTTTTGTGGAAGTTTGCTTTTAACAGTATGTAAAAACTTTGATTGAACAATTGAGAGATTTTCGACAGACTCGTGATCGAGCTTTTACTTCGACCTCTAGTTTCGATGAAATTCCGTCGAATGGAAAGCTGCGTGTTATTCTAGCGGGAGTTAGGAAGGATTGCGAGGTTTGCTCTCGACGAAAAAATCCCGGTGGAAGATATCGAACAACATATTACCGATACTTGCTCCGTCAAGGATGCATCTTGGAGATTGTTTCATAAAGTACCATACAAAGAAAAAATATAGAGCTTTATATTTAACGAATTTTCTTCTTTTCGATGTGAGGATAAAATATTTAAATATAATAGTTTTGTATGTTAATTTGATTCACTAAATTAATTTACACTTCTAAGTCTATAAATAGTCAAAAATAAAAATTTTTGCAATTTTCATACCTCTCGAATGGTTAAGTGTTAGTTTAAAATATTAATGTATAATTTAAGAAATATCAAATGCTCTAAAACTTGAAATTGATGAAAATTTCATATTTTTTTATTTATCGCGTATTGTTACAAGAAGTTAATTTATAATCGAAAGAAATTAAAAAACAGAATTTCGAATTTATGAAAGTTTCATGTTTCTTTAATTATAATACACTAAAAAAATTAATTTATAATCAGAAATTTTAGTACAGAATTTGAAAGTCCGTTTCATAAATTGTAATGTTGTTGCATATTAATCTAAGAAATAAATGTAGAATTTTATTTCCATGCTTAATATAATATTTCTTGTGTTTTCAGACACTGGTTGCAGGACTAGGGTTAAACGATGACATGTGGCACACGCTAAGGTTTTCTAGAAGAGCGGGATCTTTGAAATTCCAAATCGACGACGAGACTGCTGTCAGAGGTAAGTCAATAAAACATTTGAAAAACTCATTATATACAGATTTATTGAAAACCAGAACAAGTTATGTTAAAATTAAAATTAATATACACACTTTTATAAAAACCAAATAAATATTTTTATATAAATGTCAACACGAAAAACTTCGTACCAGAATCAAAATTTTAATAATACTAATAATAATAAGAAGAAGAATTGTAAATATGGAAAATTCTGAATATGTTGCATTAATATATGAATGACGCGGTTACTTTTAAAATATTTGTATTTATTCAAGATATGTATGCAAGATATTTGTATTCATTTTATAGTAAAGAATATAATAAATTCATTCACGTAATAAAGTTACATAGTAAACATATATAACACACCTAATAGAGTTACATAGTGAACAATAATATTATCGTTGTTAGATTAAGTATCACAACATGAGGTTCCTAAAACCTCTTATCTTCAAGAGAAACGGGAGCAAACACCAAATAATATTACGTTCAAGACCGTACCATCAAACAACCAATATTACACTAATGCCATAAGTACCAAATAGCAAGTTTAAATAAAATAAAACAGTAGTAATTTAAACAAGTTTAAATTAAAAAATAAAATAGTTGTAATTCAAGCAAGTTTAAATAAAAAAATAAAATAGTAGTAATTCTAGCAAATGTAAATTAAAAAATAAAATAGTAATTCAAACAAGTTTAAGTTAAAAAATAAAATAGTCGTAATTCGAGCAAGTTTAAAAAAAAAAATTGTAGTAATTCTAGCAAGTGTAAATTAAAAAATAAAATAGTAATTCAAGCAAGTTTAAGTTAAAAAATAAAATAATCGTAATTCAAGCAAATTTAAATTAAAAAATAAAATAGTAATTCAAGCAAATTTAAATAAAAAAATAAAATAGTAGTAATTCAAGCAAGTTTAAGTTAAAAAATAAAATAGTTGTAATTCAAGCAAGTTTAAATTAAAAAATAAAAGTAGTTCAATCAGCTTTAAATATCAGCAATATTTTGCAAGAAATATTTTATTAAAGAAGATAAAAAATCGTAAAATTATACGAAGAGTATTTTCACATCTCCACAAGTTCTCTTGGAACAAACGCACAGAAAATATTACAAATAAAGATACTAAAAACAGTTGACACATTAAACATTTATATTATCTGGAACGTGTAGAACATTCGTATTCACCTAATACAAATAGAGCAGAATCGTTTTGGAAATTCGTCGGTGTCGCGTCTGAATCTCTGCCGGCGAGAACAATGCAAGCAGCATCAATTTGCATCAAGCTTCCCTTGTCCATCTCGCCATTACGTAGCTTCCATTTTGTGGTATTCGCGCGAGGTATCTTGTCACACACCAGTGATCTCGTTGGCGCTTTTCAATCCCCAACCACCTACGAATACAAAAAGAGGCTCGTTTCCGTTCAAATTCGAACGCGTCTGCGACCACCCGGCTCGAACAACGAAAATATTTTTATCCGCGCGGGTTCAATGGCTTTTTCGAACTTTGTGCGTTAATAATCGAACGTAACTTTACAATGGAAGTTGATATTTGAACGCTGAAAGGGAAATCTGATGCTCCCGTTGTGCATAAAAGAATTCGTTCAGTTTGTATAACGGGTTTGCAGCAAGAAAATGACGATATAGAGATAGATCAAACAGGAAGTTGTGTTTCTGTTTTAATGTATACTGTTTTTAAATGTTTTGATAATTTCATTGTTTGAGGAATTTTGAAATTAAATTGTACGATTTGGTTCTATATTTCAATTTTTCAGTATTTTAATATTTCAATTTCAAGTTTTCAATTTTTGTTATGTAATTTATATATTTATATGCCAAATATATGCCAGAATCCATATGTTCCAAAATCCACATATCCTAAAATCCATATATGCAAGAATACATATAATGCCAAAATCTACATATCCCAAAATCCATATATGCCAATATCCACACATCTCCAAAATCATATATGCAAAAATACATATATGCCAAAATCTACATATCCCAAAATCCATATATGCCAAAATCCACACATCCCCAAGTCCATATATGCAAAAATACATGTATGCCAAAATCCATATATGCAAAAATCCATGTGTTTCAAAATCCACATATCCCAAAGCCCAAAATCCATATGTGCCAAAATCCACATATCCCAAAGTCCCTACATTCTAAAATTTCTTAACTTCCACAGTCCCTAGATTCTGAAGTTTCTAATGCAAAAATCCCTAGATCCAAAAGTTCCCAAATACCAAAATCCTAGATCTCCAAATCTCAGTGTCCCAAAATTACTATTCTTAACCCATCCATTTTCAAATCCCAATAATCAAATTTTCTCTAAGAAAACAGAAGTAGCTCTCCACCGTACAAGATATAACAATGCATACAAAACATAAAAGTGTTAGAAACGACCCAATTCTGGGCACGAATTACAACTAGTAACGACCCAGCAGTAAGCATCTCTCGAAAATGCTTTCCCAGCGGTTGTCGACATTTAGCACAGCGTTTCGATCTATTCCGCATTCTTTATCGCCACGAAACTAATCAGATTGTCTCTCGTTAACAAGAAGAGGCACTCGAACGAACGCAGCTAACAACGCTCCTTCCATTTACCGAGCGCAATCGTCGTCGACGCAACGTCTCGAAGGCAACTAACCGTTTTACGTCTGCTACAGACACACAATTTACCCAACTGCACGTTCTATACATATTCCTGCATTTCTAACGTCGTGTCGTTTCATTTGCATCGACACAGCGGGTAACAGAATCCCAGGAAGCACCGCGTCCTACGAGCTTCTCGCCCTTATTGAATTTCCCGCCTTTTCTATTTTCCCTGTCTCCAGCTGGAATTACCTTTAATATTGACTGCCTTGCTGTAGCTGGACTTCGCTTGGAATTTTGCAGAAAATTTTCCGCGGAAATTAAACTGTTTTAAGGTTGCTGCAAATTTTTGCGTTTATTCGAAATGGTTGTGGAGGTTAGGTTAGGTTGACGCAGCAACTGGAGAGATTAAACAAATTATATTCGAAATTTCTTGTGAACGTTGAGCTCTTGAAATTTTGTGCTTTTAATTCGATAAGTCGGTTTTAAACTTATATTTTTGTATTTACGAATTATGGAATAGTGTTTGGAAAATATACAAGATTCTAACTTTGCATCATTGTTAGTTTTAGATGTTTTAGATTAAACCTATCCATCACTGAGCTTATTCTAAAATTTCAAACTACTCTCTAGTTGCGTGGGAATGAAAACTTCAGGCAATTAAATAATTTCACACAATGAAATAATTGAAATACTTGATAATACAATGTTGGTATATCGTGAAATAAAGAAGGAGGCGATATTGATTCTTTGCGTTTTGTTATTTTCTTTCTAACCCAACCTCGTTTCGCCTTCTTCGCTGCAATATCGTATTTCAAAATCCCTGTTTAGCATAAATATTCGAGTAACAGCCAAGGTGAACGCAGCAATTCCGCTAGGAATTCCGCGTTTTAGCCCGAAGAGATGGAAGGACAATGCGTTGGCTGGGAAAGTAACAGAAACCGGAGACGGGATAAAATGTGGAGAGTAAATCTGAAAGAACGTAGGAAGAGAAGAAAGAACGTTCAAACAAAAAGGAAGAGGAAACGGAAAGAATTGTATTAAACCTGAAAAACCATAAAGTTTACGTTGCAGTTACTATCCTTTACAATTATTTTATTTCTTTCGAATTAATTACACGTTTATTATCTTTAATTCTTTTGTTGCATTCTTACAAATACTAAAAATAATAATAGATACTATGAAGTCTTGTTATTGTTACACAATAATTTTTTATATAATTAACAGCCTTTTTATTATGATAGATAATTTTTAACATAACTTAATTTTTATTATGGTAAATAATTTTTAACATAACTTAATTTTGATTATGGTAAATAATTTTTAACATAATATAATTTTATGTCAGACAATTTATTTTTAATTTTTTGTGAAATTTATTGTTACTTTGCACTCAGAATTTAAATTTTCCTTCACACAATTCAAATGCAAAATATTTGTTTAGTGTTATTTTTTAGTATTATTCTTGCAAGTGTTGGAAGTATATTATTCTATTTTCAGAACTGTTTCACAGTTGAAAACTAAATTATCCAAGATTATTTATTATCTAAAATAAAAATAAATTCTTTGCCTGTTGAAACAGAAATAAATACAAAATTTTCATAGTTGAAAATGAATAGCTATTTTATTGTTAATATTCTATCACGAAAGATATGATTTATTGTTTATTTATAATTATTGTAAAAGCTTTTTTAAAGTTATTTTTTAGAGTAATTGATTAAAGTTTTCTTCTTTACATAATTTTATCAAATTTAGACAGAATATTAAAGTCTTGTATTTATTGATAAATATTTTTGCTATTCAACATATTTATGAAACGAGATTGAAATAATATTGTGTTCACGCGCTGGGCAAAATATTAATTATTTATAGCTGTTTTCGA